AATCTCCGTCAGTGACTTGAAAATATCCATAAAAATCTCTATCACTGTGTTAAAACAAACCATAGAAATAATCTCCGTCAGTGACTTGAAAATATCCATAAAAATCTCTATCACTGTGTTTAAACAAACCATAGAAATAATCTCCGTCAGTGACTTGAAAATATCCATAAAAATCTCTATCACTGTGTTAAAACAAACCATAGAAATAATATCCGTCAGTATGTTAAAATAATTAATAAAATAATTGTTATCAATGTATTATAAAATAGTCTCGAAATAAATGCATATTGCTTCCAATGGTAAACTATTTTCACCAATGAGGGACACATCTTTCAAATATATATATATGTATATAATCATGCATATCGTTAACTTATGCTTAAAACAACCTACATAGTTAGTTAAGTTCTAAGTTATTTTCTTTATTTTATGAAATACTTAACCATTACCAGTTACATCCATTCTTTTTTTTATGCTATTGGTCAGACTCTCCTTTCCACGTGTCGAAAAGACATTTTTTTTTCTCCACGCGTCGTTAAAAGACTGTTCTTAATGTGTCACAACAGATTTTGTGACACATGTAGAAATGAGTCGGAACGAAGACCTTATATATAAAGTCTAGTACGCTGAGTATTTTAAATTCTGAATATATGTTAAGCATACTGGTCTTACAGAAAAGAAAAAAAAAACAACAATTATATATATATTGCATCCACGAGACGAGTCCGTGCTAATATCAGTAAGTTTTTTTAAAAGAGTAATTTTGTTATAACAGGATATTCACAAACGTTCTCTCATAATATTAAAATAAAAAACGAATAAAACCGTGTAGCGTCTTAAGACAGGGGTACACGTCTTTAAGTGATCGGTATTTTAACGTGTTTCATTACAAGCCACAAATCTGGTCTTTTTCTATGTGCCAAGCAGGTGTGTCACTTTCGTTTTCATTGAGTCACACGTTCTTCTTGTTCAGGTAATGAAAGGATAAGAGCAAATATGTATCATCATCATTATCGGGATGTTTTCTGTTTCGATCAGGATTTTATAGCAACTTTTTTTCACAGTTATTGTAAGCCATCCTTTTACATGTTCTACATTTCTCGACTCGAGTCATTATCGAGCTTTATAATATTAGGATAATTTAATTGATAAGTTTCCACTTTCTTTCCCATTTTATCAATACAAATCTTATACAGTGTCCAAACAACTGTCGTAAAATAAAAGGGACCGATGAAGACCAGAGGAGAACATCTAAAAATAGCTAAAAAAGAAGATAATATAATTAATTGTTCACGTATACGTATATATCTGCACGTATGATAAAAACACAAAACCATCGGTAACGATAAAGCAACTCTTTAAACAACAGGAGGTTCCTAAAAAAATATCTATCTATCTATCTCAATGCCTTTGTGTCTGTATGTCTAACATCTGTCTGTCTGTCAATGTAACTGTTTGTCTTTCTATCTAGTTACCTGTTTGTCGTCTAGCTGCCTGCCTGTATGTCTATCTAGGTGTATCTATCTAGTTACCTGCTTGCCGTATACCTGTCTATCTAGGTGTATCTATCTAGTTACCTGTTTCTCGTCTAGCTGCCTGCCTGTTTATCTAGGTATATCCATCTACTTACCTGCTTGTCGTATTCCTGCCTGTCTATCTAGTGACCTGCTTGTCGTATACCTGCCTGTCTATCTAGGTGTATCTATCTAGTCACCTGCTTGTCGTATACCTGCCTGTCTATCTAGGTGTATCTATCCAGTCACCTGCTTGTCGTATACCTGCTTGTCTATCTAGGTGTATCTATCTAGTGACCTGCTTGTCGTATACCTGCCTGTCTATCTAGGTGTATCTATCCAGTCACCTGCTTGTCTATCTAAATGTATCTATCTAGTTACCTGCTTGTCGTATACCTGTCTATCTAGGTGTATCTATCTAGTGACCTGTTTGTTGTCTAGCTGCCTACCAGCCTGTCTGTTTATCTAGCAAGTTGGCTGCCTGTCTGTCTATCTAGCTACTTGTCTGCCTGTCTGTTTATCTAGCTGCCTATCTGTCTATATACCTGCCCGTCTGCCTGTCTGTTTACCTCTGAAAGTTGCCGATTAGAACCTACTAAAGCAGCTGGTTCATTACTAATTAATTGTTACTGCGTGCAGCTTAGTGGTTGTCTGCCAGTTGTTATTTTAGTGACGAGATCAGGAAAATATTGTATAGAAAAAATATTGCCAGCTGAATTTATGGAAAAATTTCAAGTTCTTCTTTTTAATAAATATTCGGTTAAAATTATAATTCTGCCTGAGAGAAAGTGACCTTTTATATAAGAATATAAAGCGTAAGAAACATACTTCTAATTTAAAACGTAATATATTTTCCGTAGTTGAAATAATATATAAACATTGCTATTAAAGATGAAACTTACTAGTTGAAATAATATATAAATATTGCTATTAAAGATGAAACTTACTAGTTGAAATAATATATGAACATTGCTATTAA